GATAAACATAAAATATATATAGTTATTTAGGACTACGATTACCAAATATTATCTTCTATATATCATATTTATCAGTCCGAGCAGCGTTTATTTATTTATAAACTACTATTACTGTTACATAGACTTTTTTTGCCACATGAGATGTACATGTACCTTGGAAAATAAAAGATGTGATGTAATGAAGTTTATTTCCTTGTATTTTATTAGTTCACCACGAAGAGAGCCATCACCAGATACAGCAAGAACTGTAGAAGAAGACAGCGCTGGAATTACAGGGGAGCCTGAACCTATGACTGAAAAGCAAATGAGGGAAGCAGGCACTGTCATTGATGTATTTGGGATCCATTTGGTAAGATATTTAAATTTGAACATTTTGATGTATGTTTTTCAAACAAAAAAACCATGCTTGGTCTGAATTCCTCCTAAATTGATATGATATGACATATGGTAGCTTACTGCTGCATATTGTTTTATGATTTGAATGGCTGGAAAGCTTTTTTTTTAATATTCAAATATTAAGAAATAGTAAATGGACATAGTATGTATAACCATTGTTGAAAACATCATTTATGTAACACAGGTGTCAGGAGCATTTTCTAAAACATGGTCATACAGAGAAGATGCATTTGTGGCAATTTATAAACAGATGGAAGAAATGCCGACTGGTACGGACAAAGAAGAGTTACGTAATTTACTGCGAGCTGCGATATTTCTGATACAGAAAGGAATCAGAGACAAAGTATTTGCTGTAAGTTGAAATATTTCATTCTTGCACTGTCCAGGAATGTGATTTTTTAGTTATGCTGCTTCCTGAGAAGATGCAAGTTTTTCTCAATTCATGCATGCAAAAACACTTTAATAAAATATTTATAACCTGTGTGCAGGAATTTGAATGCATTGATCAGTAATAGGTGTTTTGTGGTTGAACCTCAGGTATTCAATGCGGCATTGAACTTACTAAGAATGATTTTAGAAGAATGGATTCCAAAACATAAAATACCAAAACAAGATACCACCCATGCTGTTGATAAAACTCTTCCTGAGTTGCTTGCAAGGACTGGAGACACAGTGAGTAGATATCATATAATTATATAAATCTTGTTATTAAATGATAATTATGCAGTTAAATGACAGTTATGCACATCATTTGATACAAATATTTTGATTTTTTACATAAGATGTGTTTGCACTTTGGTAAAGATAGTTCAATGTGGGTAACTTGTAAAATGTTAAATTAAAAAGCACTACAAAGTTTTGCTGAGTCAAAGGTTCCATAAAATAAATTAAAGAACACATATACAGAGTGTGGCTTACCCACTCATGTAGCCATTTTGAATTTGTTTCAAAAACTGGTTTTTCAGATTTTAAATTTTTTTAGACAATTTGTGTCAAAAGCATGCTCCTAAAATCAGGTGTGTGAAGTTACTCACATTCTTTCCTTCTGTGTGAAGACTGACCTCTTTCTTGTTTATAATTCTAGGCACAGAGACTTAGAGAGACTGATATTAAATTCATTGTAGAAATGGCACAGTTTAAAGAAGTCCGATCAATGGTTCCACATACCTGTGTACAACCATTCAAGCTATCAATGGCTACTAGACTGGCTGTCAGTCGTGTGGTTATTGTGGAGAAACTGCTTAATCAACTGGGACTGGAAAAGAACAGGTTTGTTTGTTTCTTTGTTTGTAACATATTGAAATGTTCTGAGTATATGCAACTTTGTAACATATTCATCTGCATTGCATCATGGGTGGATTTTTACAAAGAAGATATCAGCAAATGATTTTGATAATTATTTCATGCCTTATTTAGTCTGTTAAAACACAATACATAAAATAGTGGATTGGTTTTATTCTTTCCTGTATTATTTTGCAATACTTTCCAATTCAAAACATTGTAATGAAAAGTCCACCGAATCAAACAGATGTACTGAAATACTGAGAAATCATGATGTGAATTCAGCAAACCATTTTGAATTTGTCTAACTTGCCTCATGAATAGTAGATTTCAAATGCTAAAATTTAAATTTATAAAAAAAAATTACGGTCACTTCCAAAAAATGTATTAAGCTCGATGTCGGTGTGATACATGCATGGCTTCACTGTTGAAAGTATAGCTTTGGTCAGACATATAAAAAGATACATGCTTCTGTATGGCTGTAAATAGTTAGGATATTGGCAATTAGCTGCACATACCGGGAAAACAAATATATACCTTAATGGGAGGGGCATATAAATGATGGTTGTTGAGCTTCTCGTGATGCTATTTTTATGTCTTTCTGGTATTATGGTTTTGACATTAAACACCTTTGTTTCTAGTGGACTGACTGTTGACAATGTTATGAAATTCTGTGTCAACGCTTTGGACCACAATGCTGGAGAAGTAAGAGATGGAGCAGTGCGGATAATATTTGATCTGTATCGTATGCGAGGTGATGAAGTGCGTGAACATTTACCGCCAGATGAACCATCAACGCGTAAAAATACACTATACCGTCAAATATTTGAAGGTTTTGACAGAATTGATGGACGACCGACAGAAGCTGAACTCAAGGTAAAAATACAAGTTTTGTCTGCTTTTGTCTCTGGTTTGGAAATCAGGTATTTTTAACAAAATCACAAATTGTCACTAAGGCTCATTGAGGCAAAATAACACTGAATCAAGTAATTTTGACTGCTAGAAAGTTTTTCAAATTAATAATTTAATGGTGTTCATGAGGACAATAGTTCATAAAAGTTAATGTGTCTTTTGACTCTACTCAAATTTTCACTGTTGATGACTAACAACAATTCAAGCCATTTACCAGAATTGCTGTGTACTGGAGAACATCATCATCAAACAAATTTACAAAAACTCAGTGAACACCTAATTTTGCCTTCGAGTTGAAAAGAAACAGAAGAATTTCATTTTTGGTATTACACTGGTAACAGCTATATTTTATTCTTGCAGTCACAACAGAAAGCTGCTCAGAAAGCAGATCATGAGCGGAAACAAGCTCAGATTAACGCATTGCAGTCTGAATTACAACAATTGAAAGATTTAGCATCAACTCAAGGCAAGAAAGATGCGGATGATGAATCTAAGAGTGGGGATATTAATATTCATATCAATGTGGTATCTGGAAAAGGTATTGTGCTCTACTTACCAACTTTTACCTATTCAATATTTTTGAAAGCCATAATGTACCTACCGTATATATATTTTAAGATTCATTCATCAAGTGAATACTTGGATACATTTGCTGCTGAAATGTAACATTGCTTATACAGCTTACATGGTCTTTTGATATTTGTATTGTAAAGCGCAGTAGTCGTTGCACTGCGCATGTGCCACATTTGTGTTGATAAACATTGATTTTCCCACAATCCAATGCGCTCTTCAAATGGAAATCACAAGTATGAGGTTTGACCTGGGCGCGACTTGCACTGATTACCGTCTGTGACTTCTTCGATACTTTCCAATAACATGAAAATTACTTAATTTAAAGCTTGGAAACATCTCAGTTCATACTCATTGATCTGCACAACAGTCAAAGTCGCCATCTTTGTTTATATGAGACCCATATATCTCGCACATGTGCAACGACTACCGTGCTTTAAGTGGTAATTTATGTAAGGAATTGTATGTTCTATTTATACATTCTATATTCACTTGTGTTAGATGGTGCAAGCAGTCCTAATAAAAACACACGTCAGCTCCAGAATAAAGCCAAGTCCACCAAAGCATCTAGCATTGCTGATGGGTCTGAGTTTGGTGAAGATATCGATAAAATGTGCATATTCTGTAATGAGAAGAACGATGATTTTAATGAAGAAGGTCTTGATTTGCATTACTGGAAACATTGTCCAATGTTGAAACGATGCACTCACTGCAAACAGGTTTGTCACCAACATATTAATAAGATCACTCAATCTAAATATAAATGACTTGCATAATAATGAGCTCATTTGCATAATCAAAGTCTTGATATGCATCATTTGATTTGCGTCATTTATTGTACTAGTAAAATAATTGTTGTCTCATTCTTACACAGGTTGTTGAAATTTCTGGGCTGACAGAACATCTCTTAACAGAATGTGAGAAAAGAACACAGTTTGCAAAATGTCCTCGATGTCATGAAGCAGTGGAAAAGGCCCAGCTTGACAAACATGTGCAAGAAAAAGTCTGTTCTGGTAACTGACCCCAAAATACAATTTATCTTTAGTGTCTGTATACCACCAACTTGTAGAATGTTCAATATTACAATATCTAGACTTGAATTTCAAGGAGGCATCAAAGGCAAAGATGCTTGTCTTAGTACTCTTCAAAAAATTGTTTTTCCCTATGTACTATTTTATCAAATTGGGTGTCTTCTCAACTCTGAAGTTCAAGCAATATGATATGTTCTTTCTAGCCTAGAATCGGTGACACTATGAGCCACTCTACAATATCTCATTCCCCATTCAGATTTATGCAAATGTGACACACTATTGGATGTCATAAACATCTATGTTCATTGGCTGGTTTAGGGGAATTCTGCATAATTATTGGATTTCACATGATTGACAATACATAAGATGACTGCATTCAACCAATCAAATCTATGGTCAATTGTTGCCCATGGCGAGACATACGTACATAGGCTACATTCTTTCTTTCAGTGTTACTTATGTTTTTTTAAATATGTTGTTCCCAAGTGCTATATACTAATAATCATACCAATACTTTGTAGTGGCAAGATCTAAAGATCAAGCAAACCGATGTCCGTTATGTCATATGAATATTGCGGCTGGTGAGGACGGCTGGAAGAAACATTTGATGAGTCGTGATGGTTGTAAGAATAATCCTCGCAGAGAATTAGCGTTAAAACGAGGTATGTTTAAGAACCAGAGAAACTGATATAAATTCAATTTAGTGAGCTTTTAAACTCAGTCACTATCTGACCATGTTGTTACATTCGCCAATTACATTATTTGACTCAACCTTCTGTTATTTCATCACTCAAATGATATACATGTACCTCGCTAGTGATGTTTAGCAGGGAAGCACTACTGTATATCTCTGTTTTTCTCTCTTGTGAAATAGTGGTCAGACAATGATCACATGACATGAACATGGATTCATTCAATAAATAAATATAAAGCAGACAAGCTTACCTAAAAGTTTTTCTATGTCTGTGTCTTCACTATTGTTGTTAGGAAATATACATGTTTATTTATGCCAGACTGATGTGCACATACACAGTTTGAGTTAGTAAAATTATATTTGATGAATAAAGCTGACATTATTTCATATTTATTCTCAGCTCAAGAACAAAGAGGAAAAGCTGGTGCTGGCCGTGGCCGAGTTGGCAAAGCTGGAGCAGGTCGAGGCAGGGGTACTAGCAGAACTCCAAGGAAATAAACAAATCTCATCCTACTTAAATTCTGACATTTAATGGTATCAATTATTATACATCTAGTAACGAAAAAAATACAATTTGTTGATCCATACAAATCTGTACCAGCACTCGTTCTAAAACGTATCAGTACTCATGAACATTTGAATTTGTCCTTATATGGGGTAAACTACATCACTAATATTGACATGCTCTAGGTTATTGACGTTACATTCAAACATTTTCCTTTGTTTACATTGAACGCAGAAGCGTTATAGCGTGATGGAAATAGAATCCTGTCACTCGCGATAATGTTCACACACCACAAAACATTTTTCATTATCATTCAGAGCTAGATAATCTTCTTATTAAATTATTACTACATGCAGGCAAAAGATGTATAATAATAAGGTTATTGCGAGAATACCGCAAAGTATGCACTTAGGCAGTACGGGTCGCATCATCCTTTCTACGTGTTAGTCGTTATGACCACCAAACTGCGTTTGTGTATACTTTGCAATATCTTTGTGATAGCGTCATATTATTCACTATTCATACCATATATGGTAATCTAAATCAATTGTTTTCCATCACAAAAGTTGTCAAATATGGGGATATTTATTAACACTGTAAAAATCAACCCTTTGTACTTTTTTTTATTGCATAGACAGGGAATATGAATTGACAACAATTCTTATATTTTGGTAAAAATCTTTAAACTTCATATTCTATTCAGATCAAAAATTGTATATCACAATTAAAAATTATTTAAATTATGCTCACACAGAGTTATGAATAATATGTACATAAATACTAGAATGATTTACCTGAATTATGTTATTATTAATTTCACATTTACAAACATTTCTTTTATGTAAATATGTACAACTTAATTTAACAGTTTTTTGTATGTATAAAATTTGATCAAAAAAAAGCACATACTGTTAACCACTTCCAAAATAGACGAATTTGTGAGAATTTCACAAATCAAGGGAATCAACAAATTCTGGAGCTGAACCATTCTTATGGTGCTTAACCTTTTCACAGCCAGCCTTTCACAGCCAAATCTTTCTGCACTTTTTTTCTTACATTCTTCAATATTTCTCGAAATGAACTCTAATCTTGGAGCCAACAGACAAAACTTGAGTTGATTTTCTGTTTTTACTCAAAAGTTTGAGTAAATTTTGTTCCAATCATCTGAAGAAAAGTGCAGAATATAAACAGGACTGTTTTGTGAATTTGTGATGAAAAGAAGAAACTGGTGATGAAAAGAAGAAACTGGTGGTGAAAAGCTTGAAGTTGTATTGTTTGCAAAACTTTGTTGAAAGCCCTTTTAATTTTGAGTAACTTGGACAAAAAATCAAACCTTAAAATTATGACATTCACTAGTTTTATATTTTAATTATTATCTTATTTAAATAATTTATATTTTTTATTGTCTTCACTACAATATATCCCATCATGCATTGCTGTTCTGGATTTTAAGCTTTTTTTATCAGAACCGAATGGCTATACAGGAAACAACTCAAGAGTTTGGTGTGCATCACAGATTAATAATAAACGTAGTATAGTCCATCATAGTACAGAGAATCCAACCTGTAATTCAGTCATTCAATCATATTAAAACATAAAAAACTCAATCACAAACTGAATCTACGGAACTGCTCAATGATAAAACACAATACTTGACACAAGGCTTTAAACCTATTTTTGCTGACTACAACTTTTAGACAAGAAGTCACATCATCATAATTGATGTCATTAAATCACAAAAATTTATACTGCCGAAGAATTTACCGGTATTTCTTGTTAGTGAACACTCTGTGCAATCCCTGGGACTCGAGCACTTCTCTTTAATGGATAAAATTGCCACACTACTATGCTTTCATTTTGCAATCAAATTATTTGAATTTTAATACATCTTTAGTTTGTTTCTGTAAAATAGCTTTAATTTATGTGTTATATATTTTTTCTGTAGTATTTATTTGTTTTCTGCTTATTCTCTGCAGTACATTGAGGCATTGTTGAAAGTATGGATTGAGCATTACAAACCAAACTAAAGTCTTCTTTACAAAGCATTCATGTTATTGTATATTCTTATGCATCATGCATTAATAATTGCAATCGTTTTAATTCCTTTGACAGCAGATACTGTAAACATAGGAGTGTACTGCTAATAGAGACAACATGTACCTTCAATATAAGTGTAACCGCAGTATATTGATTATTTAGTCAATATGAACATTGTAAACTTGAATGTCATGTTTGTCAAGAATCACATGCTATATTTAAATGGTGTATCATTATTCAAGAATTTTGAATGTTTCTTTGCTAATTAACATAAATTCATTCACTTCTAGTTATTCAAAGTTACAGCCATGCAAAAATATCTGATCTCGCAAATATCAATTCAGAATGGTTGCCAGCATACAGTATTTCCATAAGGAAAATATAAAAACATAATTTCCTTGGAACAAGTTCGGTGACCAATTCCTGTTTTGTTCTTTTACAAACCAAAATGAATCGATTATTCTTTAAATTCTTTGCTTTTGAATTACACATTTATAAAATTTTCTTGAACCAGGAGTGAAAGCTACCAATGAGTACATTGATTATAAATTCACTTTTTTGTTTACACACATTTGTAATACCGGTACTCCTCAGACTTTTTTCAGAGATAAAATGTAGCATTTTTGTTCTGTGAAAAAGAGACAATAAGATAGTAGGGTCACCTATTGGATGTTGTTGTAAGTACAGATGACATAGTAGGGTCACCTATTGGATGTTGTTGTAAGTACAGATGACATAGTAGGGTCACCTATTGGATGTTGTTGTAAGTACAGATGACATAGTAGGGTCACCTATTGGATGTTGTTGTAAGTACAGATGAGATAGTAGGGTCACCTATTGGATGTTGTTGTAAGTACAGATGACATAGTAGGGTCACCTATTGGATGTTGTTGTAAGTACAGATGAGATAGTAGGGTCACCTATTGGATGTTGTTGTAAGTACAGATGACATAGTAGGGTCACCTATTGGATGTTGTTGTAAGTACAGATGACATAGTAGGGTCACCTATTGGATGTTGTTGTAAGTACAGATGACATTTGGTTGTGTTTTTACAACAGTAATTGGTGATATTTTTGATTTCTTGGCATGTTATAAAGCTTTAAAAATGTCATCATACCCCTATGCAGTACTAGATTATTATGATCAACTCAATAATGGCAGTGATTACGGTTCAGAATATTTTGTTTTGCTCAATTGATAAACTTGCCTCAAGGTAATGACTATCTTTTGTGAACTGAAAATATTTTTGTTTACCTTTTGAGATTTTAAAAACATTCGTATAGAATGTATATATACACAATACAACTATATGGGTTTGAAAACTACCACTACGTAACATAGTAACACAATTAATACCATATGATATGATTCTACTTTTACAGAAAGAAATATGAAAGCATAAACAATATTTTGGTGTTTGTGAAATTAAACTTCACTTTTATTCAAACATTCTTAATTTAATTTAATTGATGGTTTATTTACCAAAAATAGTTATGTATCAAATGTGTCTTTTTGACAAGATTGTCTTGTACCATGTTAGTCCCAAGGTCATATGTCGCTCTCAGTTGAAAATGCTACAAGTTTAGATTTAATTACCCTAGTAAAAGCAAAATAAGTCTAATGTGTTTTCTGAAGGAAAAGAGTATTTTTTTCACGTCACATTTCTGTTATTTGTAGAAACCAGAAACTTATCACTAATTGATTTAGGGGAAATATTTTGTACATATTATATAGTTTAAATTCTGATTATGTTCCCCTTAATTTGATTTGTATAAATAGAAATGTTTTTATTGTTATTATTAATATTTTTGTTTCTATTGAATCTCATTTATCAGTTCTGTACATAATGTTAATAATAAAAAAAACGCCATGTTCTAATCACACTCAATAGTTTGTCATTACTAAGTAATTACTACCACTATTCAGTTAGATATCTATCTAACTTTGACAAGAGTGGGTTAATTTTATCAGAATTATCCTAACCCATACTTTTTCTTAGTTCAACCCTCTGTTGCTAGGCAATGCTGAGCATGCTGGGTAAAAACTGAATGTATAATTCAATTCTAAATTTAACTGACTAGCTAGGGAATTTAGTGCCATTTCACTTTTCAGGGGTGCATTGTTGTTGAGTACTTTATAATATTTTTACTTGGAATTAATTTTTGTTGAAGGAACGATGTAGTAAAAATAGAATCCATCGAATATACCTTTTTCCTACATTTTACACTCAGCTTGTCAAATTCCTTTTCAGTGAAAATTAGTTACAGCTAAAATAAAGTATTTTACAGTAATTGGTTGACAAGGTCATGTGAGTTGTGCCCTCCGTGGTGCTCCAAACCCAACACGCCTGATGTTCCCCCCCCCCACACGATTTTTTGTCGGTACCAATCAAATTGCAGGAACGTCAGATAGTGACAGCCATCAAAGAGTAACTATTCCTGGCAGAGTTTATTTGTTAGTTGACATAATGTGTGGCAAGGTGCTAGCAAACTTCCGCCCAATGTTCATCACCTTGTTTATACAGTCTATTTTCTGTTGCCGACAATGCAAACACGACTTTGATTGATGGTGTTACCATAAAGACGCAAACTTCGCAGTTTTGATCTTGCCGACGAGACATACACTATTCAGTCGGGCGTTAATAAGGTCTGATGCCGTTCGGTCGCCGAGGGCACCACTCACTCCTACATGTCAGGCTAGATTTTAACTAGCAAAGAATATTGGTTAATTCTAGTGAGCAGCCATCTTTCTTTGATTTAGTTTCTTCTGCTTTGCCTCATATGAAGTGAAAGATCCTGCAGTTGAACACAAGTTCGGCAGAATTCAGCTTTTTGTAGTACAAGTACTTTCGTTTTGGTCTTGATATTGCCCAATAGTGTACGCCCTCTGTACGATTTCTTCTTGCTAGATTCTAGCAAGAATCCCAAAATATTTTAATCAGATTCTTGTTCATGAGAAATTTAGCAAGAATCGAAGAATTTCTCGCTAGCTTCCTGGTAGATCCTTATTGACAATATTAAATAGTTCAGTTCAGAATCATGTTCATGTTTTGGACCCCTTTACAAAAGGAGGTATGATTGATTAATTTTTGCAACCAAGGCGATTACATCGCCACTAGTGCGACCACGTTTCCCCATTCTTGTTGGTCTGCAGCAAGGGGGCAGATGTCACCAGTAACTCCAGCTGACCTCGCATCCCTCTCAACTGCCTCCTTCCATCTTGTCGGGTTCCTTCCTCTCTTCCACCGGCTGCCTACGTCCTCTGGATTCCAATCCATCAGGGCCCTAGGTAGTTTCTCCGGCCCAATACGACATACATGTCCGAACAATCGGAGTCGCCTTTGCCGCAACCATAGGGAGACTGGTGGCTGCCCTGATGGCTGAATTTCGTACTCGATGGAATCATCATACTCCCAGGATCCTTCCGAGACACTGATTGTTAAAGGCATCCAGCTTGAGTTCTTCCGCGAGGGTGGTAGCCCACGTCTCTGCTCTGTACAGTAGTATGGTGATTATCACAGCATTGTATATTAAAAGTTTAGCCTTCAGGCTGGTTTTACTTCTCCACACATTACTCAGCTTTGCAAAGGCTACTGATGCTCTACCCTTCCTCACCTGGATCTCTGTGTCCAGTTTATTGGTCATTGTGACATAAGAACCCAGGTACTTAAAACTGTCCACAGCCTCAACAGGAGTATCCTCCAGCGTGATCACTGGGTCCACATCTCCAATCCCCATAGCTTTGGTTTGGGGGCGTGAGACGGTCAGGCCAACCTCTCCGCCAGATTTCCCCCGGTTATGGAGTTATCTGTTGCCACTTGCGGACTTGGATTCTCATGCCGATGCCTGCCTGGTTGTTGTCACATGCCTTTCGGAGGACAAAGTCAATGAGAACACCAAAGAGCAGGGGTGTCACAGTGTAAGGCCTGCTTATCGCAATTGAGAGGGCCACCCACAGAACACACACTGGACAGGGGTTCTTTTACTACTAGAATGGGGTAGACAAGACAATAGTACTGGAAATGAAATACACATACACCACAATATCGAGTTAAAGCTCCTGGCTTTAATACCTCTCAAAATAATTACAAGAAATAAAGCACAGAAAAATACAATGAATAAAGTCACCGAAATAGGGGATTGTTTAGGGAAGTGTGCATGGTGATAACTCACAGTTCCAGGATGTAATAATGGACGACAGTCAATGGCTTCTGCAACACAACAATGAAGAAATACAGGAGTCTTGCTTGCAGAGGAATGCTGTTATTCTGGAGGGCACGGCTGGAAGCAGGAGATCGCAGAGCAGTTCATACAAGTCTCACAGAATGATGGTTGTAGCCTGTATCACTTGTCACACAATATCGTAGCAGAACACACAGGAAAGCAAGTTGAAGTGACGGACACCAGGTTGAAATGATGGACGACATGCTTCAGTGTCACCACCTGAGTATCAACATGAGCCAATCAGAATGTGATCTTGCTAGCAGCTGTGTCATGTAGGCAACTCAGTAGATCATAAACATCCTTTGTTATTCAAATAACAGCACATCAGGTAGATTCCTATTCTCCTTCCAAAGTTGTAAACACCCTTTGTTATGTAAATTACAAACACATCTGGCAGATTCCACTGTCATTCCAGAGTTGAAAATATGTATGACCTGTCAATCACCTTTATGACAGTTATCACAAGGCAATGCACATCATTTCTTCCCATAATTCCATGCACACTTCCATTTGCAGGGTTTGAGGTAATATGGCAAAAAAACATAAAATAAAGGATGCTGACAAGGCGGGACCACACACATCCCTGTCTTACTCCTGTTTCAATCTTGAACCAGTCTGTTTGCTAACCATCTACAATGACAGATGCCTGGCAGTCCCTGTACACACATTGGATTAGCCGAATGTACTTGTCTGGTACTCCATAGTCCTGTAGGATATGCCACATGGAGGGTTTATGAACACTGTAAAAGGCCGCCTTGAAATCTACAAATACGGCAAGTGCTGGCAGTTGGTATTCTAAGCACTTTTCCATAAACAATCGCAGTGAGAATATCATGTCTACGCAGCCTCTACCACTTCGGAAGCCTCCCTGGTTTTCACAGAGTTTCTTCTCTAGCGGATCTCGTATCCAGTTCAGGAGGATTTTCCCAAAAACTTTGCCTGGTACAGAGAGTAGGGAGATACCTCTGTAGTTGCCACACTGAGTCCTATCTCCCTTCTTGTAGATAGTACAGATAAGGCTCTTGGTCCAGTCCTCTGGATATTTTCTTCATTCCATACCCTAGTTATTAGCTGGTGGAGCTGGGTTACCAGAATATCTGGTCCATGCTGAAGGAGCTCAGCCGGTATCCCATCTGGTCCTGACGCCTTGTATTTCTTCAGTTGATCAACAGCCTTCTGGACTTTTCCGATTGTTGAAGGGATCAAGGGAGACCTGCGGTTCCTCTCCTATCTTCCCCAGATGGTGGAGTCTTCTGTTCGGTGGTGGACGATTTAGCAGCTCCTTGAAATAGCTCGCCCATCTTTCTTTTACTTCATCCAAAAGGAGGTAGAGATGTAATATTGATATTGTTGGCAAACTTAAACATGTATGCAATTCCAACATTCCCAATGATTTACATAAAATTAGCGGCTACACCAAACTTCATAACAAAAGTGGTGATTCCAAGATACACACTACAAAACTAGGCACATTGCTTTCACCGTCATGGTCTTTGTTCTTAGTACTGGCGTCTCTTCAGCAAATTCCAACAAGCCACATTATGCAGTGTCACATGCTGTTTGTTGAAGGAAGACGATGTTTCTGGTGGTCTTGGCATAGGGCAGAAGATGCAGTAAGTTGCAGCCTCTTTCTCATAATCTTACAGTCTTCAAGGGCGGATACAGAATTTTTTATTAATGATTTTTTTATATTATAGAAAAACAAATTGAATAAATTGTTCAACGGGGGGGGGGGGGGTTCCGGACTCCAAGACCCCCTAGATCCGCCACTGGTCTTCAAGGCTAACTCACTGGACTAATCACAGAGTTTTAAGCCAGAGTTCTGATGAATACCAGCATGCCCTGTGTCTGCATCAAGAATTCACACAAAGATCCAGAGTATTATGTTTCGATTGTTGCATACTTCTGATTAGCAATGTATATATGAGTAACCAAATTAATAAATCATGGGCAATGTTAAGGTGTCCATTCATTGTTGTAATTAGTGTACATTCCGTACATAGATATTCTGGTGAGGAAAGAGAACGTAGCAATGACAGAAAAAAAACTCTAACTTATAAGGGTATGTGTATTTCTTCTACGCAAGATCCGTCTTTCGTCGATTTGTCGCAAAAGAGTACCTTACCAGATTTTTAGGGAAGTACCAATCTTTTGTTTCGTAATTTAATATTCATTTCTAGTGATTTTGGTGTTCAAGCTGCTTGTTCATTGTAACATATATCCTCAATAAACATTTGTTATGAAGTTAACAGTATCCGATTTTATATTTAGTCAAAGTTACTTTATTATATATATATATGGTCCTGTCTTAGTATAATTGATGGGCCTCGGATTAAATTAATTGTGATTTCAAATCGTGATAGTTCTGAATTTAAATTAGTTTATTCAGTCATTTAAATACATTTCAAACGAACTAGGGCTAGGAACAAATATTATACTAATCCTTCTATCAAGGCTGCCTGCACGAATTACTTTTCTTTTTGTGCAACGTCGCTCGGTATTATTTAATTAGTTAATGTGGCATGTCATTTCATCCTTTGTAACTTAATGATAGTCAAGTATATATTTTACCTTTTTTGTAAGTAGTCCATGCTCGTTTCAGAGTGTAGTTTGTGTATCTTTGGCACACTTTTGCCGACTGCGACACATTTTGGTAAAAGGCGAGACCTAACGGTATATATACTGAATTATACCGACTGGTGGCCATTATTGTCCCAAAACACGTGCCATCGACAATTTCTCATTCAAACTACGAAATGCTACACGTAGTCAGTTAGGCAATTACTACTATATTTTGTGTATTACCTATTTCTCGAAAAAATCTGTTCAAATAGCGCGTTCGAAATTAATGTTTTACACGCGTTGTATACGTTGAATGGGACCCGTATCGAACGCGTCGCAATGACTGTAACGATTTGTGAAATCACGAAATCTTTATTGAACTTGAAGACGTAGACGGAGCACACGTGTTAAACTTTTATAACAATGAAGAAAAGTTCATATTCAGTAAGAACCAAGGGTCTCTTCACAAACAATTGTGTTTTATTAGTTACTGTGTATATGTCATTAGGACAATGGATACATATGCTGTCAGATTTCTTGAATACCGTAATAATAAACAAACTATAACAAATGTATTGCCATTTTTACCTTAGTAAAAGTGCAAACAATAAATGAACCGGTGATTATGGGGTATAATTGGATGACATTTATGTACATATCTCCATGGCAACAAGTAGGTATTTACATTGTGCAAACGTGACGTAGATAAAAAAAAATAAAGTAAGTGACAGGATTGGTTACCTATGTACCAGTGTATACGACCTCAATGTGTATAGTCTTTTCATTGTGTATGTGTGTATACATGTAAAACACCGGCACTGTGAAAGTAGCCTTTTGACAACTGGATCGATTGTAGAAAAGTGATTGTATATCCGTTGTATGCTCTGAATAGAGCAGTTTTTTTATATTGTTCGTATAAACCGAAGACCGAATATACATAGAGACTCCTCGGCCGGTGAGTATAACTTGGACTACTGAACGTAAACTTGTCTACACGTGTAGTCAACGTCTGATATACCTGTATAACTCACCGACTGCGTTTCAGGTAAACGTAACATTCAATGGTCATACCTAAGCGACATTTTCATTCTACGCCAGCTGATTATGTTTTCATAAATACTTTTCTCCATTTCACTATAACCCCTAGAGAGACTCAATTGTCTATGATTTCACGCTGTATTTACTATTATTGACCCTGAAAACTGATTGTTCGTGGCATTATACTTCACCCTCACAAACACCGCCATTGCCAAGTATTCTTTGTGTATAGTATGGTAAATATTATTCTTATGACCCCGAGTTCTCATTCGGTGATTCAGGACTGGTTCACACGATCAGAGCAATCGCATAAAAGCTATAAGTTCAGATTTATCACATGAGTTATAGGCAGCTGCTATGTCACTGTATACCTTATATAAATATCAAACTCTTTAGGAAGATTGGGAGTGATATTGTAATTTTGATAAAGAACACCGTGTGGGTACATCTTTGCCTACATGTAGGATTTACAACGACGAGTCATGGGCCCGTGTCTACTGGTAATTCATTTATGTCAACCAACTCACACTGTTTAATCCACACATGATCCGTGTCTACTGGTAATTCATTTCTGTCAACCAACTCACACTGTTTAATCCACACATGACCTTATACTATTTGTTTGTGGTCGGGTGTTCAAACACACAAGCACTTTTGAATTTGAGTGGGTATATTCTATGACGATTTACATGACATAGCCCCACCACCGACCAACTTATTGTAGTGACGTCCCTAATTGATACACTCTCAAAAATCAGATTCATTTTAGTTTAGTTAGGGAGGATGGTATTTGAGAAAAACCACTAGATAGGCATTAGAATATGATTTGAATCAGTACATTGGCAAATGTTTATTCTTTCATTCAGAACACATTAATCCAATTTATCTCGAAAGAGACTAATGTGCATGGGTCATCATCACCCTGTATATTATCTCCTACAATATTTCACTTCAAATAGACACAATGTGAACATCAACAAATTAAAGCCACTTTATAAAATACACTGATAGATGAAAAATATAATATAAATATTTAATTTCCAAATTCAGCAAATGTACCGGCATTAAAGGGAAGTCAGTTGTTTGCCACAACTAAATCAAAATCCACTATATTTAATGTTCTTCGTATAGGTTTCCTGATTGGACGACATATGTTCGTGTACATTCGCTTTCCGTTTGCATCCGTTATGGATTTGTTATCGTGTTCTGTCTGGTAAATCATTAAACACGTGTTTGTATTACAGAACACAAAATGGAACTGGTAGACAACGTGACAATATCGACGACTGACGTCAACGGGTGAGTCTATACTTCCAATATGACTTACAATAGCTTGGCTCAGAGCTCTGATAGGTTATATATTATATATTGTACCTATATTTCACGCGACACAAGCTCTGATTACGTAACGATTTACGCTCTCCAACACACTTGTTCACACACACATTCTTTAGACGGTAAATATGCCTACGTTATATAATTATTCTCAGGCGATCACATTCACGTAATGAATACAATGTTGTTATTTACAGTATTGCTGTAGACGTATCTGTATTGTTACGTATCACTTACGTAATGAATACAATGTTGTTATTTACTGTACTGCTGTAGACGTATCTGTATTGTTACGTATCATTGACGTAATGAATACAATGTTGTTATTTACAGTATTGCTGTAGACGTATCTGTATTGATACGTATCACTTGCGTAATGAATACAATGTTGTTATTTACATTACTACTGTAGACGTATCTGTATTATTGTGTATTATTAACGTAATGAATACAATGTTGTTATTTACTGTACTGCTGTAGAAGTATCTGTATTGTTACGTATCATTCACGTAATGAATACAATGTTGTTATTTACAGTATTGCTGTAGACGTATCTGTATTGTTACGTATCACTTACGTAATGAATACAATGTTGTTATTTACATTACTACTGTAGACGTATCTGTATTATTGTGTATTATTAACGTAATGAATACAATGTTGTTATTTACAGCACTTCTGTAGACGTATCTGTATTGTTACGTATCATTCACGTAATGAATACAATGTTGTTATTTACTGTACTGCTGTAGACGTATATGTATTATTGTGTATTATTAACGTAATGAATACAATGTTGTTATTTACAGTACTGCTGTAGACGTATCTGTATTGTTACGTATCATTCACGTAATGATTACAATGTTGTTATTTACTGTACTGCTGTAGAAGTATCTGTATTGTTACGTATCATTCACGTAATGAATACAATGTTGTTATTTACAGTACTGCTGTAGACGTATATGTATTATTGTGTATTATTAACGTAATGAATACAATGTTGTTATTTACTGTACTGCTGTAGACGTATCTGTATTGTTACGTATCATTCACGTAATGAATACAATGTTGTTATTTACAGTACTGCTGTAGACGTATCTGTATTGTTACGTATCATTCACGTAATGAATACAATGTTGTTATTTACAGTACTGCTGTAGACGTATCTGTATTGTTACGTATCATTCACGTAATGAATACAATGTTGTTATTTACTGTACTGCTGTAGACGTATATGTATTATTGTGTATTATTAACGTAATGAATACCATGTTGTTATTTACAGTACTGCTGTAGACGTATATGTATTATTGTGTATTATAAACGTAATGAATACAATGTTGTTATTTACAGTACTGCTGTAGACGTATCTGTATTGTTACGTATCATTCACGTAATGAATACAATGTTGTTATTTACTGTACTGCTGTAGACGTATCTGTATTGTTACGTATCATTCACGTAATGAATACCATGTTGTTATTTACAGTACTGCTGTAGACGTATCTGTGTTGTTACGTATCACTTACGTAATGAATACAATGTTGTTATTTACATTACTACTGTAGACGTATCTGTATTATTGTGTATTATTAACGTAATGAATACAATGTTGCTATTTACAGTAATGCTGTAGACGTATCTGTATTGTTACGTATCATTCACGTAATGAATACAATGTTGTTATTTACAGTACTGCTGTAGACGTATCTGTATTGTTACGTATCACTTACGTAATGAATACAATGTTGTTATTTACAGTACTGCTGTAGACGTATCTGTATTGTTACGTATCATTCACGTAATGAATACAATGTTGTTATTTACTGTACTGCTGTAGACGTATCTGTATTGTTACGTATCATTCACGTAATGAATACCATGTTGTTATTTACAGTATTGCTGTAGACGTATCTGTATTGTTACGTATCATTCACGTAATGAATACAATGTTGTTATTTACTGTACTGCTGTAGACGTATATGTATTATTGTGTATTATTAACGTAATGAATACAATGTTGTTATTTACAGTACTGCTGTAGACGTATCTGTATTATTGTGTATCATTCACGTAATGAATACAATGTTGTTATTTACAGTACTGCTGTAGACGTATATGTATTATTGTGTATTATTAACGTAATGAATACAATGTTGTTATTTACAGTACTGCTGTAGACGTATCTGTATTATTGTGTATCATTCACGTAATGAATACAATGTTGTTATTTACAGTACTGCTGTGGAAGTTTTAACGTGTATACCAATTATGAACTCTGGTAACTTTTTTATGTGGTCACTTATTCCAGCCGTAAGTATCTTCTTGTATCTCGGCGGAGGCGAATACCATCTTAGGGGTGGCCATTGTTACTGCCTGGGTGGTCAGATTGTATTTAGTTCAATGCGCCATATTTCATAGAATCCTTAACAAAGATTCGCAGTGCGGATTCTCTGTTTTCTCTATTCCTATTCTGCTACTTATATTTGTTTATAATTTCAGCCAGTCAGAAATTTCAGGCAGATGCAAATTATGTACGAATTGGTGTCAGAACTAATTACGATATAACCGTTGCCATCCCGACCGCTATTTCTGACAGTTGGGTATTCGCAGTTAGTAATATAGTGAATGATTAATCAAAAGATATGACGTGTTCAGTACTTAGTTTGATTGGCTATGTGCAAGTTGAATGTGTGAAGGCCACGCCTTAGAGTCTTTAAACTGCTTTGTAATTGGTTAAGTTTTTGATAAGTAATAAACAGTCTAAGTCCTTGATCACAGAGAGAGAGACAGACAGAGAGATAGAGAACTCCACGAGGCGAGAGCGTCTTGGCCTGTGCTAGGGAGAGACCCCGACGAGGCAGTTCGCCTCGAGGCGTTCTCGATGTGGCTAAAGACTAGCTATTGACACGTATTTCGTTGTGTGTGTCTATTTGACTGTAGAGTTTAAGTGACGTTCCCGACCCCGTACCTCAAGAGACGTGTATAGAACAGACGAGATTTCCCCCTGACACGTTTTGGAGAAACCACCAGAAGAGAAGAATTCCCCCCTGATAGTAAATTGCGAATACAGTATGTGAACAGATTACAAAAGACGGATAATACCCGGTGGACAAAATAGGTTTCTTTAAATTACATATGAGTGACATGAGAACAGGATTTAACTTGCTTGGAACTGACCAAAATATATTAACATAAATATATATTCGTATTTACTAATTCATGTTTAGGGTATCACAGTCTTTGTGTTGATATTTCTACAAAGTAGAACGCATTTGTGCAAAGGATGTTTAGGAGGACGACCAGGATTAATATAGTAAGTATTTATTCACTCGATTGGGATTATATTTATAAGATTCAAATATTACTTCTAAACACATCATTATAATCATGTGTGTATTAATAATCTCCCTAGCCCTGTTAATTTACTGGATAGTAGAAGTCACCGTGTGTCATACGTAGCTGCATTTGGCGTGGCGTCCACGGCATGTTTTAATATCTTTAATGGAATGTACCCTTTTCCGATCGAAGGACCCAACTATGTAAAAGGTAAGAAGAAAACGGTGGTTCATATAACAATATATAACGTTACTCCAACATACAGCAAGTTTAGATTTTATTCACGGTACAAAATGTTTGATGATGAGTTTATTAAAATATATTACAACGCCGTAAACTAAGTTTAGGTACACACTAGTATGAGGTAATCAAAAGATTTACTTGTTACGATGTCATGCAGCCGCCATTGCTGACCAATTTGCGTTCCAAGCCCTGCTTTCGGTTTTCCCACAACGATACTATACGGGCGATTCGCCGCCGATACGTTTCATTCATGCGAAAGCTAGGCCTAGAACGCATAAATATAGTCAGCAGGCAGAGGATGTGAAGAGATTGTCATTAGTATGTTGCACGGCTAAGCCAAGCATATGAATCTGTCAGACTGACTGTTTCTGACAACAGACACGCAACACATCGTAAATTGTATGTATACATTGGTTAAAGCTATCTAACGTACATTGTTTATCCTTTCAACTATACAAGATAAAATTAATCGTTGTCAGAATGTTCATATTCGAATAATTTCTCAAAATAATGTAAATATGATACAAAGCGCGTTCTCATCGAGCATCAATCGAATGTGTAACCACGTGTTGCCAGAAACTCACCCAGATACGACAAGGAAACAGGTGTGTACTACCAGGGGTATGCGATCTATTTCGGCAGCAACAGAAAACATGCGTGGACTACCAGGAGACGATAGCATCTGAACACAACAGCTGAACAATAGGTTGGCACTTCTTTTTATTTAACTTTTGTTATTTTTCAGTGTTTTGGTCTATTTTGGCTGTGTTTGTTTATGGCTTAAGTTATTATCCAATATTTGTGTGTATAGCCATGGAGAGCATTGTCAGCTACCTTATCGGGACGTTATACTCTTGTGGATGGTGTTTTGTCGTAATAACGGGTTTCATTCAATGTACATCAGCCGAAAATATGGTAAGTAGTCGGCAAATATCCAACAATTCGTTGAATCACTGATGCATATATCTACGTTCAGATGCAGTGTTTTAAATTATTTATGGAAAATGTGTTCAATAATCAACACAGATTCAAAAGAAAAATATCGAGCCGATTTGATTTCAGAAATACTTCATATATACACTATATATTACATATATTTTCAGACGCCTGCGCATTTCGATATCATATTTGACTTGCCGCTTACGCTGTGTTCTGTGTACTTAGCAATTCGATTCCCTGTCTTACTTATTAAGTCAATTGTTGACGCTGTCAAGACAAAAACGCATCGACTCACTGTAAGTATAAAGCTTAATCACGTACAAATTAGAATGAATTTCTAGAATAAAATTACCTGATAAGTACTACTTCTCAATGCAGATTTATATAGCACAAGCGCCATCATCTCTTTTCAAAATTGTATGTAGTTCCAAATATATTTCTCTGTCAGTGTTTTGATTATTTGACATACGTTTATTTTATGATAATTCCGATTTGTCTAGGGGCTTATATTTCTTTACTCAAACGACATATTATTAATTAATTCAGTAGCAATGGTATATGGTCTTACGCATACATACTACATATATGCAAATATCGTGTATACATGATGAATATAATATTCGTGATCATAATCGAATATACATAATGGTTGTTGGAAAGCTTGATATGAAACGGAGTTTAGACGTACAAATTCCACGGGATTTAAATACTGACCGATATGCATTCTTTACAACTGTACTGAAACGTGTTGAAAAACAATTTCGTACTATGACATGTGAAGAATAAGTTAAGTTATATAAAAATTATATTTTAGTTATTTTCCTTTCAGCTAAAGGAAAAACTGAGCAAAAATTACCAAGCCGTCTACGTCAAACATGTGTTCAAAAAGAAAAATACTTCAGAAATGTAAGCACTTCTTGTTAATGAATGAGTGTCATATACATGGTCTCGTGTTCTTTATTGATCATTTGCAATGCCGAAGATTACAATGTTTATAGTCGTTAGAGATATATGTGTTTCTTTCAACAGGAAAGGCCATTCATCTGAAGAGAAGACCTTTTTAAAATGTATTAAAGTATGTTGCCAGAAAATATGTTACCAGTCAGTACCAGGCAAGTTTTGTTAAAATGCAACACGAACCATAACACTAACCTTTTAAGTTTGTTACTGTATGCTGTTGACCATATCGAATTATGATTTGTCTTTAACAAAGGCAACACACTTAATACGTGTGTATTGAATGTCCTTGTATGTACCAAAGCATTGCTTAGCTGATCTATGTTTTCAGTAATAAATCAATATAATCTAATTTGTTCACCAACATACTACATGTATATCATTTATTACTTTTATCTCTTTGTAGGTTTTCGTTATTCACCCAGGATTATCTGTGCTTTAGTCGTTGGTACCATTGTTATATATAAGGTATTTGGCAACATTGAATATTCCAATAATATCGTAAATTGTGTCGTTTATAGTTGTAGGATATTGATATAACCATGCCATATTTCAATTTGTATACATACATATTGCGTTGTTAGACACCACATTAATTTGCATATTTGTTTTTCTTGTATGATTGGTATTTTCCCTAATTTCTGGGGTCGAAATATAACCTTCATGTCCTCGCTCTTTTTTCAGATTTACGCTCTGTGTGCAGGTCCTTATAGCTTATACATTGACACGTTGTATGACTTCATTGCGGGTACAGGGCCATATATAGAGATACTTGGTTTTAATTCAACTGAAACTATTGGTGTAATTCAATACTACATACGTGTTGGAAAAGGTGAGCACATATGTATTACTCAAAGATCAGTTTACAACAGCCTAATATATTGTATACATGTTTATTTTACAGGTGTGAGCTCATCAATAATATACAATCCTGGTTCATGTGTCACGTGACATATTGTCCAAGTGTGTCACATCATATTTTGGACTTTCATAGCTGGTTAAAATAACAATAATTTCCAATTTGTAATTACAATTTATATTTATAATACTGTAAACTCTTGTAACATTCGCTTGAAATTGAACATTGTACTCAACGATCATATTTAAAAATTATTATGAATATTGTACTGACAACCAAACTGTGCTGGTTGAAAATTTAATATACATACGTTTTATCACCAAATGTTACTTGTGTCTTTCTTTTCCACAGTTTGTTATTTTGTTGGTCTATCAACGAGTTTCGGAATGTCATTGGTAATCATTTTCCTCATATTTGTAAATTATAGGTATGTAGTAAGATTATATTATATAAAAGACAATATGCAAATGACTACACCATATCAATGCTAAATTATATTTATCTTTCTTAGATTCCATTCGTTGCAAGTTGTATAATATAATCTTTATTGTATGTAATGGTATATTTATTTGAACATTGATTTAAGTGCAGTAAAGTGTAAAACATGTTGTACCTATCTTGAATTGGGTAATGGACGTTTTATAATTGCTATGATTATATGACGTAACTTGATAATGGTAGGGCATATGTGACCAAAACACCAACACACCGAAAATGCAACCAGCGAATTCACATCAGCATTTTTATAAGGTGAAACCTCCCTAATTTTTCAAACCAATTGTACAATTTGGTTGAATCATTGTCACGTGTTGGTTACAGCACATAAATCAACATGCGACCATGACATGGATGTTGTTTATATGTTTCGTATTTTATAATTCAATATTTAAAATTATATATTTTTTCAGGGAAAATGTGTTGAATTTATATAAAGGTAGATCAAACTTTATCCCGGAAATAGAAAGTATCAGCAATGACTCCAAGGTGGTAAGTCATGCATTCATGTTACACACAGTATATCTTCTCGATAATTCGTATATGTGATATGATATATACTTTTTCAGATATTTATAAATAGGGCGCCATCAGTGTTAATGTGAATAACGTTCCATACAATAGCTTAGACGCTAGTGCGCATGCGCTTAAAATGTACATTCATGATGTAAATCTGGTATATAGCATTTGCATATCATTTTATTTGACGATAAATTGTACTTTATAGTTCCAAACAAGATGAAATATTAAACATAATTATTGGAACATACCATTAATCACACATCGCCATTGTCGCTTAAATATATTCACAATTACGTCGGTCATACGCAAAATGTATTGGCACTCTTTTATGCATCTCAGTCGCGCGCCCTCTATCCGAATTATCTACAGCCTCATGGACTCCAAACATAAACTAACAATATCAATATTTCCCCAGGTGTCATGTGTTCGCTACGCTGGTTTTCAGGTTGGATATTTAATATGGGGTGAGAATGTAATTACTTAATCTTTGTTAATATATACAATAACTTATTAATTTAAATGTATTTTTCTCCTAACTGTAGAAAATGTAGATCTTAATGTTCAATACAATTATTGGCAGTGCTTCTGTATCTTATTTGTAAAAAGGTTAGTCATCATTATTGTGAATAGAACACATTCAATAAGTGTAGGGCAGATGGGTGACGTGGGCGGGGCGTAGTTCGAAATAACTAGCCGCCGTCTCGCGGTATTGGCTATTTATACACTGGCTGCTTTAATTTAAATACTAGGCATAAATTCACCATCAACAAATTATTTTCCAATTACCAACATCTGTTGCCTTGGACCACTCAGAAGCCATGACCACACCTGCTTTACGACTTCACTGCTTTAAATAACTTAACCCTCCCAACAAACCACTGTAACTTTCAGGTTAGCTGCTTTTAAAGGGCGTCGTGCCGCGTCCTGTTCGATATGGGACTCATAGTGACGTATACAACGCGTGTAAAATACATTGTTTATTTACATGAAATTCGATCACGCGCTGCGCGACGACCACCGCGCTTTAAGTTTGCAGTGCGAATTATTACCAGTAACACCAGTACATCAAATTACCAGCTGCAATGAAGTCACTTTTTAGCTCCTCGCATTGTCAGTCACTTGGCCGGTATATGAACACTACCCAACACACAAATATATTTTACAGGTTTCATCGTACAAGCTATACTATTTGGTTTGTTATCACTGGGACTAGCTTACTTGGTGTTTATACCTTTAATTGATGGATATGGGAAGTTTATACTTGACTTTGCAATGTCTATATGGTGAGTATGTCTTCTTTACAAGTACTGGTTCGTTCATATTACATCATTTGATTTGAGTATCAGGTGACTAAAGTATCATTAAATGTATAAAACCTTTCTTCAGAGGCTCACATTTAATTCGGCACTCATACCTTTTCACGACTTATTCATGTACTTTTCGGATCATTGTTGAACTCCGAGCTAAACTAACACAGGCTTAATTAATTATGCGTCATTATATAACTTGCATGGGGAAAGATATTTAAGATAAATGATTTCAGTGGAATATGTAAATGAAGTTGTTGTTGATATTGATAATAAATTGAGTAATGTGTTCTGAAAGAAGGATAGTAGTCATATCCGAATTTACACTGTGCAGTGTACGTAAGGTGGACATACCACCATGAATGAATACGAGTATGATTAACGTGCCTTATTTGGCAGTCATCACAACTCGAGTTCTATATGGATCTCGCGCGACATATACAATGCGTGTGAAATACATTGGAACGCGACACGTGACGACTGAGTTAAGTTACTCATAAAGCAACGAATGTCACATTCTTATAGGCCCGCCATTGTGATTGGTTTTGCCTTAACTATACTTCAAAGACTACTAGCAAGGTTTGTATTTCTGCAAGACAATGGACGGACATTTGCCTTGAACAACAGGTAGGTGCTTATTAGTACATGTTAGTTACGTAAATGTATACACGTTTTTATGTAAAACTATCATAGAGTAATCCACGGTATGTAATCTTCCAACCCCATGTATTAGGATACACACATATCACAGTGCACATGATTATGCGATATCCATTTTGTTCACAGTTTGTACATACCACATTACAATACATTACATTAAGAAAAAGAAAGTAATATACATAAACACATTAGATATATAAAGATTAGGAGCAAAATACTTTCATTATAAATTATATTATACAACTATTTATTTTATATAGAGCATATCTCACAGGTGAGACTCCGATAAGTATAAGATAGAGTATAAGATTTATTTCTGAGTATAGTAACTTTCATTTGTTGAGTTGTCTAAGCATTGGAGAGAAGCAAATAAAAATATAACATATTTACATCCACATATTGCCAATAGAACAACATAATTTGCTACACATTTACAATGTTGACATTTTGGGGGTTTTGATTTCAAAACACAACTGTATTTATATATCTGACAGGTACGCATTATGTTTTATTTTTTACTCACCGAATGTTTTTTTTCACCCGCCGCTGTTTGGATTGATATTCTTCTAAATCTGTTTTGTTTTTGTTTTTTTAAAGACGATTATTTCACAACTTCTCTTACTTGATGTTCTTCTTCAATATGTTTCTGGGATTATTTTCTTGCTTGATGAGAATTGTCAAAGCTATTATTTTGGGAACAGCACTCTTGTCTCGCATTGACAGCAGTACTTTGTCTAAGAAGTTCGAAAGATTCGACCCTGGTATGTAGATTGGCAATTGGGATAATTGCACCGTATACAGTTACATCACGGTTCAAATGACAATGACAGTGTTTGACTGATATACTTCTAAGAGTTACATGAATTGATAAAATTTAATTTAACAGTCCAATATCATGAGGAGGAAATACTTCCATTTGAATTTGAATTTCCTTGGTATACTAAGATAGCTACTGTTGCCTCAAAAGATGTGATGTTTTTCACTGGTTTACAAGAAGACTCAATGAATGATTTGTAGATGAGAGCAATTCCACCACCATCAGATGATGTAGTATGCAGTGTTCAAGTATCTTCCACCACCATCAGATGATGTAGTATGCAGTGTTCAAGTATCTTCTAGAAGTGCACTTATTGATGACGTGACTGTCTGCTGCTTTGTTCATTAAGAACATTATTTCTTTTAAATTGCCTACATCTTGAATTAGCTGAAGTGTAGCTAAATTGGAATAACATGCTGGGTAAACAAAATTACGGTATATGTAGAACTGGTCTTGCAGTTTTCAACATCTTTGGACGGGACCTTGTAAGAGACCGATTGCAATTACATTATCATTGTGACTATATATATCTTTTCACATCAGCTGCATTTGTATTAGTAGTAGATGTATTATATAATTATGTTAAGAGGTTACACAAGTGTATCTGCACGTCATCGATGACGTCACAGTTAATGGAGTTTGCACATTTCAAAAAAAAAAAAAAAAAACGATTAAAAATGTCTTACATATATTTTTAGTCATCGCCGGGATATCGGAAATCGTAATTCACCAAAATCTGGAAAAACCTCGTACAATTATGTTTATTTGTAATGTTGGGACAGAGGAATATTTGTGTGTAATCTAAAAATGTTATATAAAGCTTTCCAACATACAATACATCCAGACAAAAGTGGATGTATAAAACAATTAAAAACTACCCCAGCAAATGTCACTCTGATTTACAGGTTGTACTATAATATCATATGATTCGTTAACATAATTTTCATCCTCTAGGTTTCATGGCTTACGTTGGATTCTTACACGTGGAGACTGCGCATACGAATCCAATAATGGTGACTTTCTGTCATATTCTGATTCACTTAAACAACGAACGCAAACAACTTGAAAGTACATATAATAGTCAACAATTAGGTGAGTGGACACTACTAGTATTATTGCCACGGTAATTTTACTCATTTTATTTCATTAAACCACAGTCCCTATAGGGGACCGTCCAGTTGTACGGAAAATCACCTATCAGTACGATGATGGTCATGGTATAGAGAAAAGTAACCATTTTGGCCCGCCAAATGAATGATCAGCGTCTTCCTCTTTAAGGCTGAAGCTGAACAGCACAATTAAATCATCCCCACTGTGACGTAATGAAAATTAAAGGACGGTAGTCGCCGCGCTGCGCATGTGCTGATAAACATTGATTTTCCAACAACTCAATGCGCTCTTCTAATGGAAATCACAAGTATGAGGTTTGACCTGGGCACGACTTGCACTAATTACCGCCTGCGATTTATTTAATCATCTAAAAATACTTAATTAAAGCTTGGTAACGTCTCAGTTTGTACTCGTTGATCTGCCCAACAGTCAAAGTCGCCATTTTGTTTATATGAGACCCATATATGTCGTACATGCGTGGTGCGACGACTACCGTCCTTTAACCATCACTAAACTGTTACTGTCGTGTATATTACAGACGATTTTGGAATGAAAGGATCTACCGCCAACAATCTCCGGCGTCGACGGATTGCAAGGAATCGGTGGTTTCTGGCCTACACTTTACAACGAAATCCAGTTATGGCCGTGAAAAGACAACTACTCTTCAAACGAGACTACGTGAATGAAGCACTTGATGCTGGAGAAGAAGCATTGGCAATAGCCGGAATTAGTTTGCTGAATTAGTTTGCTAAAAGATGAATATTTATATATCTTAATACAAATTACTCAAATTACTTAATCAAATCACATATAATAATTTCACATTTTTATCAGTGATAGATATTTCATGTAATATTAAACCATGCAATGTCGTCACACATTATCTTTTAATGCACCCATTATCACATGTTTTGTTCATAATTAAATGTTTTGTACAAGGTTTTTGAGTATAATATTAATACAGAGTGCAAATGCAATGTCCACTCACCGTCCCTCTATCCCCGGTCTGGAAACGACCAGCGTTCTTTTGTCTCGAACCGCAGTGTGGGTAAACAAACCGTTCACACCCTGACCGAGGGAGTCAGGAAGTCAGACAGATTGCAATACCGTCAAAATATTCATTAAAATCGGAAAATTTACCGTCATGCAAAGCGATACCTCATTGTATGACTTCACTTTGACTTCAAATTCGGGCAACCACAACGTAAACAAACATGT